AATGGACTGTAACCCAGCTTTAAGCTTGTTGTATATGAAACGATTTTCCAAATATATGTCTTTAAAATTGAAATCTTGCTCATCCCACTCCTACACGCAATCAGCCATATTTTAGAGATCAGTGAGGATGACCACCCATCGTTGGTGACCGACGCCCGCGATATTTGATGCACTTTAGACTTCGCTAATGCTTTCGTTTCCCCGGGTGTAAATAGCCGGGGGGAATTAGTACCCTCGCACGGCGCTTCGCGCCGTCGGCTCGGGGACAACCTCCGCCTTCATAAAATAGCGGGACTTCAGCATTAAAAACAACCGTTCTGGGCATGCGCTGCGCCAAATATCCAACCAGAAACCAGAATTTCTCGTATAAGATAGTATTGCATATTCCGCCACATGAAAATCAGCGGAACACGAGATATGCGATTCACGAATTGCGTGAGTAAGCAATAAATTGCGTGGAAATGAGCTAATTCTGCAGGGTATCAGTTGCTAGACAACAAAGAGGTCAAAGAGCAGACAGCAATTTAAATAAATAACAATAAAAGCACTGAAAAATGATTTAATTAATATTTAAATTTTCAGAATAAGCAAAGCTGTGATTTTGGCTTCACTGTAAAGCATTTCCACATTTTTTTTTGAAATTGTTAGTCCCGCCCGGCGAGACAGCGGGACCGCTAGCTACGCCACTGCTTGAGTGAATGATTTGGTTATATTTGGCAGGATCATAAAGATGCCATAATTGTCACGCAATGCAACCAGGAAGGCAGCAAGTCAGATTACATGAACTACCGGGGGAATTGCGCTACTTTCACATTGTTTCGAAGGTTTAAATTAACTGAAAACATTCTGGATGAAAATGTTTCGAAGTGTCAATGTGGTTTCAGCAGCAACAGAGGACGCGATTTTCACAGTAAGGTAATTAAAGGAAAAATGCATCGAACAGAACGTGCCTATTAATTCGGTGTTTATCGACTTGACTAAAGCATTTTATACGGTATCACGGGAAGCATTGTGGAAGATTCTATTAAAATTGGATTGCCCCACGAAGTTTATTAATATTCTTAAACAACTTCATGAAGGGATGCAAGAGAGGGTTTCTTCCGAAAGTCAGTTCTCCGACAGTTTCCCCACAAAATTTATAATGGGGCAAAACAATTAAGGTTGTGTTGTAGCGCCGTTCCTATTCATCTTGTTCTTCGCGAAAGAATGCAGAGAGAATGCTTTCATACGATCACAAAGGTATTCGCGTGAATTTCAGAACAAAATGGCGGGTTGTTCAATTTACAATATGTGCGCGCCAAAACAAAGATAAGGGAACAACTTGTGAGAGTGAAGTATTGATGCAAATGACTAAGGCATATTCGCTCACTGTGTAGAAGATTTACAATCGCTGGTGGATAGTTTCCAAAATTAATTTGTCTGGACATTTGACTTGGGGATTTGCACAAAAAAGACAGAAATACTATGCCAACAACTACCAGAAGTGCTTCTAGGTAAACCATCGATCACTGTGAATGCACAAAAACTGAAAATAACTAAAACATTCCGTATCTTGGTAGCAGAAAGCAATTTTTATATCAACGCTCTTGTATGGAGGGGAAACGTATACCCTGTATGCTAGGCACATAAAACAACTAAAAGTGTTCCAACAACGATGCCTCTGAAACAGTATGCGGGTAAAATGGGAAGAAATGACGCCACACGTACGTACAGCGAAGTGTTAATTAATTCGGGTAAATGTTGTAGCCCCGAAAGCATTGTGAACAAAAGGCAGCTTCAGTGGGCTGGTCACATTGTGGGAATGAATCATGAACGACTACTTAAAATATTGATGTACAGGGAATTACAACAAAGAAACCGAATGGTGGAAAGGCCACGCAAAAGGTATAAGGATTGCTTGAAAGAAACGCTGAAATTGTGCAATGTTCCGCTACATCTTAGGAAACACGTGCAGAAGATAGAGTTTCGTGTCGAACTGCATGCAATCCATATTGGTGTTCAACCACTTAAAACAGCTGGCCGGACAGAGAGAATAACGACAAACCCGACGCAGGCTTGCGGTTTGGCGTCATGTGTGCCATGACAACACGATATTTTTGAATTTTTATATTTTTATATTTTTTGTACAAAACGGCAAAATAGTTTATTAAAAAAAGCTGCTACTTTTAAATATACAACAATGAATTTCTAATTCTGAAATATGTACTATAGGTACAATACGTTATTTTGCATTTTGTGAGCTTTGATTAAATTTAAAATTTTATTTGAAACGCTTTGTAAAATATTTTGAAATGTTCATTCAACTAAACAGCTTTTGCCGATAATCTGTTTTAACTTAATTTTGCGTTAATATCAGTTAGGTCTTCAAATTAAGTTACTCTCCTTTATATTTTACCTTTTTTCCGAAATTAAACACGTAATTTAAGGAAACTACTTACAGTTTCATTGAAAAGGAAAAGGAAAGCTGCACGTTTTACGCAAGTAATTAAAGCAACAAAATTTATAAACCGATTAATTAAACATTCAAAGCAAATTTGCCCTATATTTCACGTATAGTAAATCAATTCTTCTCATTTCTTCAAACAAAAATTGCTTCAAAGCTCATTGCGTGAAACGTAATTTTCCAAATATATGTTTGTGAAATTTGAAATCTTGCATATCCGTGACAAACAGCTGTATTTTTGAGGTCAGTGAGGTCCACCAATGAACCATAGTCATTTGCCCGCGCGATTTTTGATTAAAGTGCCTATGCAACGAATTTTTCACCTCATTTTTTATTGTTTTTCTAAAAAGTACTACTGGAGTGATGAAGAATGACGTTTACAGTTTCGTCATATCTCATCTCATTCTCAAGTTATCGCACTTTCTATATTTTGAGTTGTGACGTCACAAGTATGAGTTGAGATAATGGCAATAACAAGAAAGTATGATATCTTGGTGAGTATTTAATAAAATTCAATGAAACTTGGTACACTTAGTGGGTGCACTCATATGAATATTTTTGGTAGGTCATGTGGTTGCCATGGCAACACACTAGTCCCCAGTCTCTTCTCTTCCTTTCACAACTTTCCTTCCGTAGACCTCTTGCAGAGGATGTTTACATATTATTACTGTATAAACTGATCACAATACCTACACGTATTATAGTAATAAGCGAAAATTGTAGAAATTGCTATTTATTTCGTTGAAAATGGATCATATAGAAATTGTAAGAGAAGGGACTGGGGACGAGTGTGTTGCAATAACAACCATATAAACAAGTCAAATTGTTGACTTTGTTGCACCCACTAAGTGTACCAATTTTTCATTAAATTTTATTAAATACTCACCAAGATATCATGCTTTCTTGTTATTGCCATTATCTCAACTCATACTTGTGACGTCACAACGCAAAATATAGAAAGTGCGATAACTTGAGAATGAGATGAGATATGACGAAACTGTAAACGTCATTCTTCATCACTCCAGCAGTACTTTTTAGAAAAACAATAAAAAATGAGGTGAAAGTTTCGTTGCATGCCCTTTAACCTTAGACTTCGCTAATGCTTTCCTTTCCCAGGGTGTAAATAGCCGGGTGAAATTACCACCCTTGCCCGTAGCTAACCCTCGAAACGGCGCTCCGGGCCGTCAGTTCGGGGATTGTATGTTGCCACGGCAACAAATTATGACGTCATTATGACGTCATTAGTTGCAAAAACCGAATTATTATCATTTTCAAAATCATTTTCCTTATTGTAATTTTTAGCTGTTTTGTTAAGATGAACAAGGTAAAAAAGTTTTTCTTGATGAAGAAGTGCTGACTATTATCGCAACTATTGTAATGTAATTAAAAATGCTGAAAACTTAGTTTTGGAAGGCGTTCACGACTACGCTATAACTTTTTTCCACATATGAAGCGCATAAATATTTAGGAAAAGTCTATAAATTAGACAACCATTCATTTACTATTTGAAGAGATATTAATTTTAACTTTTAGCGCGGCTACTTTCCGCCCCCTTCACCAGTCTGGATAGGGTTAATGAAAATTTATTTGCAACATGCACATCATGCATACGCAAGTTACAACGTGATTAGAAATCGGCACAATACCAAAATTAAAAAATTGTGTTCAAAGAATTCTAAAGCTTCAGAAAAGGGCAGCACGAATCATTCTTGACGCCGATAGGGCTACGCCGTCAATAACTTTATTTAACACCTTGAACTGGCTGCCATTTACCAGGCAGTCACAAATTAAACGGAAGACATTAGTTTACAAGCGCGTAAATACAAGTGTAAATACACCCAATTATATTGGTTACTTTTATTACGGAATTCGGATATTCATCAAAGAGAAACCCGATTTACCAGAAAAAACTGAAGGTGGTCGTACTTTTAGGGCTAGATCCTCTATTGAGTGGAATAGCATTGATATGGACATTAGAAAAAAGTCCTCAATGGCTAGTTTTAAGTACAATTTATATAAGCCACATTTAGATAAACAGAATGCCTCCATAATCATGAGTCTGTAACTATTTTAAAAATCCTTTAACTAGATTTGTAAATAGTATATTTTTACATTCTAAATTTTTCAACTTGGTATATAGTTATCAGTATATAGTTATAATTTACTATTGTAAAGTGTTAGCCTCGTTAAATAAAGCCTATAATATATATCATATATATTATAATATAATAATAATAATAATAATATTAATATATAATAAAAATATAATATTAATATATAATAATAATAATAATAACAAAACTACTAATAACAATAAAAAAAATAGAAACAAATTACAAGAATTTTGCCCATATGTTCTCTAATATATAATTAAATATTCAAATTAAAGAAAAAAAATTGCACTTTGCAGACTCAAGTCTAATTTTTCTTCGTAATTGGAAATTGCAGTCTATTTACAATATATATCAATGACACAGCCGTTAATTAAACGAGTGCATTTTCAAAACGCTATATAAATATTATTACGCCGAAACAATTGTTCAATGAATTACTGGTATTAACAAGCTCCAAGTTTTGAGATTCGTTTGCTCGATTCACGAATCATTGTCTGTATTTCCGTTATCAAGCAGTGTTCACTATCTGGATTGACGGCCAAAAGAAACAGAGAAGAAACCGACGGAATTCCCATAGGCATTAACCAATGAAAACACAGAATTGAAGGCCAAGAATCAGCCTGGAAATACTTCTTAAACGCAATGGTTATTCGTCTTTCCAAAGAATCATCAACGACTGCCACTTCACCGTCCGATGATCCAAAAGACTGTATAGCAACGTGGACACTGTTGCTCCAATCAGTAAGACACTTTAGGGAAAGATCTCGTCCATCTTGCAGAACCTGTTCACTTATCCTCGTCCACGCGACTCCAGCGATTCCCGGTTGCGCTTTCAAGTATTGCAAGGCCACATATGCAATCTCTCTCGCCATGTTTCTGTCGGGTTTATCCTGCCCTAGTGGTATGCCGATATTTTGAAAAAACTGCCGGGTAAAAGAACCCTCCGGAAAAACAATACTTTGGATTAAGACATCAAGAGGCGAGCTAAATTGAATTATCACATTTTCTAAGCATGCCAGCAGCTTCCGCTGCAGTGCTGATGCGTAGTTGACAAGGAGGCTGGCGTAAACATCGAGTGCTTCAAGGGTCATGTTTCCTGCCAGGAATATGCTGATTCCATGAATTAGGTACTCTGCAAGGGGTAAGTGGAAAAACAAGGAAGGTGATCTAGTTTGAGAAATAGCAGTAAAAAAAGGCAAAAGATTCTGCAGCATCTCCAAGTTTGCCGTCTCGTAAGGATGTATTCCATCGATTTTCCTGAAGTCGACCACCTTCTTCTCCTGAAAATGGGGGACGTTCAAGTAGACCATGTCAACCAGATCAGCATATTCACCTTTCTCGGTTATCATTAGGAAGTTTGGACGCAAACATAACCCAGTGATAATTTTCTGGAGGGATACGTGACACTTCAAGTTAATTGTTTTCTCGCTTTCAAGAGGAAGGGTCGACGACACCGTGAAATACGCACCGCCTGATCTTGCCCCATCTTTAAAAAAGATGAACGGTTGAAATACGATTGGTTTGCAAAAATTGGGAATGTAACTGGAAATCTGGCATGGATTGATCGTGTTTGTCTTCACCTCTCATTGGCTGTTGTCAATTGAAAATAATCCGTTCCCCGTGGCTTCGAAAACACTGGCAATGTGTTTATCCAATCTATTCTTCTCTTTTCGAAATTTCTTGTCGCTTTCTAGAGGGTTAGTTATAGGCGGATTGTTCCATAGAACAATTGTGTGACCGCCTCTCGAGACTCGGTAGTGCGCTGATGCCTTCGATCTGACCTCGAAGATACCATGCTCTTTCTCGTTTTCACAAATCACTTCGATACCTTGCGGCAGTGAGTACAGTATATAACCAGATACGGTGTATTTCTTAACGAAGTCTTCAACATGAATTTCCTGAAAGACAGAAGAACTATTTTGATATAATAATCAAATGTTTTTTATTCCAATTTTTAAATAAACTACATATTTTACTACTTTTCCGACACTTTTTCGGCCTGCTCCCATTTGCTTATTTACGATTCAACTGTTTCTAATGTAAATGTCTCGGCGAATATTTAATTTACTGCAAAGTAATATTTCTTCTCAAATAAACGTACTCGCTACACGGTAATACGAACCGGTCGAGAAAGAATCTTGAACCCGCAAACTATGAAACAGGATGTTTTGAAGTGTATTATTTTCCAGTTGGCATGCATTTAACATTTTAAAAAGTGCTTTTTATGAGGTTCAGTCATGCACGGAGTGGTTTTAACAGGTTTACCTAATACTTGTGACAACACTAATTTACAGTTAATAAGACCAAATATACGGCTGGCCGACTGGACGCTGTTTTAGATCAAAATATTTTAAGGGATTGAAACAAGTAAGACACGGCGTCGTTGTAAGGAACCATCATATACCATTTCAATTACACGAAATATATAAGTTGTATTCCCAAGCCAACGGCGCGGAGCGCCGTGCGCAAGTATTAATTCCACCCGGCATTTACTTCCGGGGAAAGGAAAGCATTAAGCCAAGTCTAAGGTTTATCAATGATCGCGGGCGTGGATCAGCAACGAAGTTTCGGTGGGTGGTCATCATCAATGATCTCATAACATAGCCAACACTGATTGCATGGTCGAATTCAAAGTTTGCATTATAACGACTTCATGAGGACAGCGATATAGCTAACATTTCTTGATTTCACGATTTGTTGCAAATATATTTCATTTTTGAAAGATTTTGTAAATTTCAAAAGCTTTTTGAAAAAAAAGACGAAGGAGTCGGCTAAAAGAAGGGAGCAAA